TTTTTTTTTTTTTTTTTTTTTTTTTTTTTTTTTTTTTTTTTTTTTTTTTTACATCTTAAATTTCAAGAGTTTTATTTTAAATTAATTTAGCCTTAATTAAACTCCTAATTTATCGTCCCAATGTAGGGACTCACTTACTATCATATACTCCTTATCCATTTGATCAGTAGTTTAGTTTTGGGGATTCTTTGTGCACTTCAATGCCCCGGTGCTACGTCTAGACAGGTAGGCAGAATCGAGAGAGACCTTTTACTCCAGCGGACCGTAAAGTATGATTCATTAAAAGCCCTTCTTGCCGAAAGTAACTCACTCAAAGATATGATATTTGACGGTTGATTATAGGTTAATATTGTTCATCCATTTATCTACTTTGTAATATATTTAATATTATTGATTCTATAAATAATTATAAATGGATAATTCTTACCGAGTGATTTTAACCAATATTCTCGTGGAATCAGAGTAACTCTGATTATTTCTTCTTCATGACTTTTGAACTTCTCATTTTCTTCCTTTCAACACTATAATCGATATGATGACTATCAAGCTTTCTTCCCTCGGTTATCTTCTTTGGAAAAGTCAACTTCTCCTTTTCCTGGAGAGTCAAGACATGTTGGACTAAGTTGATGAAACTCTTGTTTCACCACCTCGGTTTATAACGACCCTAGATTTCTACTTAATTTAAAGTCGCTACTGTATGTATATCACAGACATTTTATGCAGAAAATATTTCATTCAAAACTTTATCATAAAAACATAACCTTGGTCTTACATGTCATCTAGAAGGCCTTTAAATAAAATAATAAAAATGTCTTGTACTAACAAATACGCTACTAAATAGAAATGCGAACTAACATATACTAACCTATAGTCTACTAAATTCAAAATGCAAACTACCCTATGCATGTGCCACGGTCTCCCAAGTTGCGATGTTGCTGTCAACCGTATAGGGGAACCTTGAATTTACTTGAAAAAATAAGAGTAGCACATGGCTTGAGTATTTTAAAAAATACTCAGTAAGTGACACCTTTATCGAGGTTAGATGCAAGCACATACAATTATGAGTTAGACCTATCATATCAGTCTATTTTCCAAAGGCGACTATCCTAAGTGGGTAATTGGATGTGTATGTACTATTCTACACACAATCTACTTGTGCAAGTAGGGACCCACCGGTTGGTTCACACATGTCCTGAGCCCTTTTCTTGTCGGGCAAGCATTCTCTGGTAGTTGTTAATGTTAGACAATCGTTAGGAATAGTGGTTGTCATAGCATCATTATGGTAAACATATTGATCATTTATCTACTCTGTAATGCACAGGTTCGTTCCATCACAAAAGGATAAGGGTATCCCCCGATGCATAAACACACAATAATGCATGAAGTCCCAACAATTTTCCTTTCATTATCATTTATCACAACCCCTCTAGCGTTTTCCTTTATATTATATAATTTTTATCATAACTTCCATCATATATCAAGGTTGTATATTGCCAATTCATCATTTGCATGTCAATCGTACCATATATCATTCATGTCGAACATATGTCATATCAAAAACTTATTATGCCTTCACATATCAATTCATATGATGCACATATCATATCATAGATCATAACAGTCACATATTATATCATATACCATAACAGTCACATATCATAACATGAGTATGTTTTTAAACATATCCTATCGTAATATATCACGTGTGAAGCCATAGGCACGTGTCATCGTACAACATATAAAAATCGTTCATAAAATCAGTAAAAAAAACTCAAAAAAACAAACTTTGGAGCTTAAAAATCATTAAAAGAGGGAAGAGGTCATGGCGGTTGACCGTACGATCAGTTTGACATCATCACTGACGTCCCTTTCTTCTACCCTTCTTTTCCCATTCTTTTCTAGTATACCTTATTTCATCAATGCCACTTTGCTCCATTCGTTTGGGGGGTTTCTTCCCTCAAATCAAGTTACCTCATTCATGAAACTTGTAAATCTACAATCTAATAGTACGATACGATAAGTCGAGAAAAACACAAATTATACCTTTTGTTGTCGAACTTTCCTTCTTCTCCATTTAATATATCGTTGAGGGTTTTTGTGGAAGGGATATGTGACCCTTATTGTTGGAATAAACTTAAAATGGTAAATGTTAATTTTAGGTAATTTGTTAGGAGAGGTAAATTTGAAAAGTCTAGTGAAAGAAACGGGCCATTGACGAGTTAGGATTTGAGAAGATTTTGGTGGAGTCGACTGTTGTCGTAGTAGTGCCGGCCCTTCCTTAGTTGGAGTCGGGCCTCCATTGGCATCCTTGTAAGATTACTGTCCACAAGCTCAGTTGTGTCCAGCAGCTTCTTCGTGATAGTAGCTGAGCACGCCGATGGCGATGCCAATCATCACGACATCGGCCTCTTCGTTGTGGTGATGGAGATGTCGGGCACAACGATGTGTGTGTTTTTACACTTCGCATTTTCTTCTACTCAAACCTGAGACCTGTGTGTTGTTAAGTCGACGCTCTAACCACTTAAGCTATTCAACTTGTTTGTTGATAAGTTGGCTCCTCCGCAATGATATACACCGATGGCTTCAACCTGGCTCTAATACCACTTGTTGTTTTTCGATAATCAGCCAGAGAAATTCGGTGAGAGGAAATCGTCGACGGAAGGTTGTTAGAAGAAAAATGCTTAAAATAAAAAAGAGAGAATGATGAAATTTTGACTGCGTTTAATAATCACGTGGTTACATATTCTGAACAGATTTCCTATTTAAATATAAATTATCCTAAAAATGGCCAGAGCGTGGCCAACTAAATCTGTGTCACTCCCTACAAAATTTCCGTCTAAAACTTTGGTGATCCATTCGACGTGTTTTGTCAAATGGTCAAACGAATTTTTTTGCAATCGTATGAACCTAAATTAGGAACAACTGAAAAAACCCAGGTTTTATCTAACAAAGACAACTACTTCAAAATAAGCGTAGGACACTTTAGAAAAGGTGTTCAAAGGAACCGACCGAATCAAGCAAGTGCGTCTCCAAACTCTTCGTGACGAGTTGGAGATCATGAACATGAAGGAGTCAGAAAATGTATCTGACTATATCACACGTGTTCAGACTATGGTAAACCAACTAAATCGAAATGGAGAAATGTTACACGAGACATGGGTTGTGGAGAAGATCTTGAGGTCATTAACCAACGACTTCGATAATGTTGTATGTGCGATAGAAGAGTTAAAGGACCTAGCGACGTTCACGGTCGATGAGCTCACTGGTTCTCTCGAGGCACACGAGCAACGTAAGATTCAAGGAGGATGTTAGAATCACACAACAACTCACACACTCGATCTAGATAAACACAAAGAACAGGATAGAGAAAATTGCAAGGAGAACTCTGCTAAAAGAATTTGTATTGATGAGTATGTATAAGAGAGAATACAGAGAATAGAAAGTACATTTTCAAAGCTCTACGAGATATATATATAGTTCAGTTTACTATATATAGCTTTACCAGATTTAACCATGTACTATATATAGCTATTTACTATATATAGCTTTACCAGATTTAACCATCTACTATACATACCTATTTACCATATATAGCTTTACCGGATATAGCTTTACCAAATATAACTTTACCGGATATAACCGTTGACCAAGCTATAAATAAGAAAGCAGACTCCATAACCTAACAATTCTCCCACTTGGAGACTGATCGAGTCAACCAAGAATTTCATTCTTAAACGATCACTACACCATACCAATTAAGACTTTACATAACCTTAATTTTCCAACATCAACACATTTTGTTAACATGTTTGCTTGATTCTTTGCACCCTCTATCTTCTCCAAACACATATCGCCTTCTTCCACTAACCTGCGAGTGAAATGGTATCGCCTTCTAATGTGTTTTGTCCTTGAATGATAGACTGGGTTTTTCACCAACTGTATGACGCTCTGACTATCTGTATAAAGGATCTTCTTGCATTGCTTCCTGCCTAATTCTTCTAGATAGTTTGTCATCCATATCATCTTCTTTCCAGCTTCAGCTATTGCCACGTACTCAACTTTAGTAGATGAAAGAGCAACGCATTTCTGAAGCTTGGACATCCAACTCACTGCTGTTCCATCTATAGTGTAGATATATCCAAATGTGCTCTTGCTAGAGTTTACATCTCCACTCAAATCAACATCCACGAAACCTTGCAGAACTACTTTGTCATTGCCATAACAAAGTGAAGTATTGGATGTACCTCTCAGATATCTCAGAAGCCACTTCACAGCTTCCCAATGTTCATTCCTTGGATTTGTCATGTACTTGCTAACAACTCCTACTGCATGTGTTATGTCAGGTCTAGTGCAGACCATAGCATACATCAAACTCCCAACTGCAGAAGCGTACGAAACTGCTCTTGGGAGATTGCTCCTTTTGACAATTTAATATGATTTGCCAAGGGGTAGTTCTGGGTTTAGCGTCATTCATCTTGAATTTGGACAACACCTTCTCAATGTACTGCTCTTGAGATAGATTTAATATGCCAGCAGATCTATCTCGAGAAATCCTCATCCTAAGAATTTGCTTCGTTGCACCCAAATCTTTCATCTCAAATATTGAAGACCAGCTTGCCTTCAGGTGGTTTATCTCCCTCATACTTGATCCAGCAATTAGTATATCATCCACATACAGGAGTAGAAACACATAAGAATTAGTGTATTTCTTGAGGTAGTAACACTTATCCTTTTCACTCCGGTGGAAACCACTCTTGCAAATGAAGGAGTCAAACTTCTTGTAAAATTGTCTCGGTGCTTGTTTCAGTCCATACAAGCTCTTATTGAGCTTACACACCATGTGTTCCTTGCCTGGAGCTGCAAACTCTTCTGATTGTTGCATATAGATCTCCTCATCTAGATCTCCATGTAAAAACGCCGTTTTTACATCCATTTGCTCAAGGTGCAAATTCTCCGATGCAACAATACTCAGCAGAATTCGGATAGTAGTTAATTTCACAACTGGAGAAAAGATCTCAGCATAACCAATGCCTTTTCTTTGTGAATATCCTTTAACTACTAACCGAGCCTTAAACCTCCTTCTGCCATCTGGTTCAACCTTGATTGTGAACACCCATTTGTTCAACAGAGCTCTCTTTCCTGTAGCCAACTCAGTCAGCACCCACGTATTATTCTTTTCAAGTGAGCTTATCTCATCATCCATGGCTTGCTCCCACTTGGTTGAATCTTCCACTTGTAGGGCCTCATCAAAGGATTCTGGTTCTCCTTCGTCAGTCAGCAATAGATAATGTAATGAGGCTGAATATCTATCTGATGCTCTGATAATTTTGGATCATCTCCTCAACACCTGCTCAGGTGTAACTTGCTCCACGTCTGGTTCTTCAGCAATAGGATCAGGAATTTCTTGAGCTTCTATTGTAACATCACTGCATGAATTTTCCTGCCACTCAAGTTCAACTCCCACTTGCTTTGTAGTCTCAGAGTTTATCTTCTCTCTGTCCTTGTACATGACATTTTCATTAAAGGTCACATCGTAGTATCTTAGGATTTTTCATATTTTTCTCATCCCAAAACCTGTACCCGAACATGTTAGAGCCATAACCTGTGAAGTAGCATTTCACATCCTTAGCATCAAGTTTATCTCTCTTCTCTGGATCAACATGAACATACGCAGTACAACCAAAAGTTCTCAAGTGAGAGTACTTGAGTTATTTTTCTGTCCATACTTCTTCGGGCAATTTGAACTTCAAGGGTACTGACGACCCTCTAATAATCAAATATGTTGCTGTGTTCACAGCATCAGCCCAGAATGTCTTTGGTAGTCCAGAATGAATGCTCATGCTTCTTGCTTGCTCATTCAATGTTCTGTTCATTCTTTCTGCAATATCATTTTGTCTTGCCTTCCCGGGAATTGTTCTTATTAATCTAATTCCCTTAGCTGCACAAAATGTTATAAACTCTGATTTTTTGTACTCTTCTCCATTTTCAGACCTCAGGCATTTGATCTTCAAGCCGGTCTGATTTTCAACTTCAACTTTCCACTTCTTGAAGGTGGTAAACACATCTGATTTGTTTTTCAGAAAGTAAACCCATACCTTCCTGCTGAAGTCATCGATGAAGGTGACGTAGTACCTTGATCCACCAAGTGATGAAATTGGAGATGGTCCCAGACGTCTGTATGGACCATTTCCAACCGCACTTTCTTTGGTTCTCTGGTAGCCTTTGTGAAACTAACTCGTTTCTGTTTGCTCATAACACAACTCTCACAAAGACCCATATCAACAGACTTTAAGCCTTCTAAAGCTCCTTTCGCAGTCAGCATCTTTATTCCTTTGACGCTCATATGTCGAAGTCTATTGTGCCATAGACTTGAATTGAAAGCATTCTCAGCAGCAGCAGTCATGTTTATACACTCTGCAGTAGTGTATAAGGTTCATGATTTTGTGTCACGTGCAACAACCATGGCGCACTTCACAATCTTCCACGAACTCTTTCCAAACTCTGCTGCATAGCCTGTGCTATCCAACTGACCAATAGAGATCAGGTTCTTCTTGAGACCAGGAATGTATCTGACATCTTGTAATGTTCACTAATTTCCTGCTGGAATTTGTATGGAGACATCTCCCTTCCCTTCAATCTCCAAGGTTTTATTGTCGGCAAGATACACCTTCCCGAAATTTCCTAATTTGAAATTTCGAAACAATTCCTTACTTGGAGACGAATGGAACGATGCACCTGAATCCAAAATCCAGGAATCAACTGGGTTGTCCACACTAAGGATTAAAACATCCTCAGTATCTTCTGTTGTATATATAGAATCATCATCATCTTCAGATTTATGATTCTACTTCTTCTTCAGTTTTGTACAATCTGTTCGAAAGTGTCCTTTTCCCCCACAGCTCCAATACGTTACGTTGGGTTTGTTTGGAGATTTTCCCGGTTCTTTGATTTTGATTGCCCATGTTTGTTTGAGCTCTTTAATTTACTTCTTCGCCTTCGATCAATACTGAGAGCATTGCTTGATGAATCTTCAGTTTCTCGTTTATGAATACTTTCGCTGAGAACTACATCTCAAATTTCATTAAACTTCAGTTTATCAGATCCTCGGGAACTGTTGATTGCGGCAACAACAGTATCCATGACTCGGGTAAAGATGACATCAAAATCAACGCTTTAATTTCATCTTCGAAATTAATTTCCACCGAACTCAGTTGACTTACGACCATATTGAATTCATTTATATGATCAGCAACAGATCCACCTTCAGACATCTGTAAATTGAACAATCTCTGCAACAAATACACCTTGTTCATAGCCAACGGTTTTTCATACATATTTGACAACGCCTTCACTAGATCTGACGTTGTCTTCTCCTTGATAATGTTGAACGTCACATTTCTAGATAGCGTCAATCGGATCAGCCCCAAGGCTTGTCGATTCTTGAGCTTCCACTGTTCCGTGGTCATGGTATTCGGCTTCACCCCCAACAGAGGTTTGTGAAGATCTTTCTGGTACAGATAATCTTCAATCTGCATCTTCCAAAAACTGAAATCAAATCCATCGAACTTCTCAATTCCAATCTTTGAATTTTTCATCTTCACAAATCGTGGTGAATTTCGCCTAACTCTGATACCAGTTGTTAGGATCGCACAACAACGCACACACTCGATCTAGATGAACACAAAGAACAGGATAGAGAAAATTACAAGGAGAACTCTAGCTAAAAGAATTTGAATTGATGAGTATGTATAAGAGAGAATACAGAGAATAGAAAGTACATTTTCAAATCTCTACTGGATGGGATTATATATAGTTCAGTTTACTATATATAGCTTTACCAGATTTAACCATCTACTATATATAGCTTTACCAAATTTAACCATCTACTATATATACTTATTTACTATATATACTTATTTACCATATATAGCTTTACTGGATATAACCGTTGATCAAGCTATAAATAAGAGAGCAGACTCCATAACCTAACAAAGGAAACGCTCGATCAAGCACTTCGAACCAATACGTCAATCAAAGATGAAAAGATAATCTACTCTCAAAATTTTTAAGGTAGATGTCGAGAAGTCACAGAAATGGTCAAGGAAGAAGAAATGAAGGACATTATAAGGAGAAGAGACAGTCGAGCCAAACAAATTGGCGTGGAAGAGATCGCAGTCAAAGATATTATTCCAACATTCAGTACTATAAATCTAAAAAATATGGTCACTATGCGAATGATTGTAACTCCGATAAATGTTACAATTGTGGCAGAGTGGGACAACAAATAAAGGTATTCTCTTGACGCCCCAAAATGAAGATCTGAAAGCAAAAGAATATGATGGTGTAAAAGACGATGACGGTAGTCATGAGGCAGTGGAAACCGTTGGAAATGAGATGACACACAACGGATTTTAAGAAATCACGATATTAGAGACGAGAAAATTGAAGAAGGATGAACAACCAAATAACAAAGAGCTTGAGTTCGAAGAGAGAGCTCCAATGGTAGGAAAGGGGATTTGAGGAAGAAAGAAAGAAGAAAGATGATGAGAATGAAAGAGAAAATGGAAGAAGAAAAGACGAAATGGAGAGAAAGAATGAAAGAAATGCAGATTGAACATGAGAAACAGATGGTGCAAATGCAAGCTGCAACCCTTCAAAATCCCAAAACAATGACGAAGAAGAAGCCCATGCGATCAGCGAACGAGCCAAAGAAACTGCCAGATCATGAGGAGGAGAATAGAGATTCAGAACAACATCCCAAAACTGTCGTGGATAAATCTGTGGAGAAGTCTCAATTGCAAACGTTGAAATCCCTAAACGAGCACCTCTCGAAGGAGAAAGTAGAGATTGAAAAAGAAAAGAAAATTTTAGAAATGGAGATTGAAATTTTAGAGAAGTGACTGAGCTGAATGAGTTTTTTCTATCTCAAATAGGAGAAGAAAGAGAATAGGAAGGTAATCTCTGAGCTCGCAAAGAAAATTGAAGAAGGTGTGGAGTAAGAGAATGACTTATTAATGAAGATTGATGGTCTAGTGGAAGAGCTAGTGAGGGAGGAGAAAGATATACAGATGCTAACTCAATAAAGAAACTCACTAGACATGAATCTAAATCGGGTCCAACAAGAGACAGTGAATTTACGACACACGATTGAGATAATCACTCATGATAAAGACGAAATGAGGAGGCAAAAGTGGAAGTGGAAAATGTCGTTGTGGACTTGCGAAGGGAATTGAGTAAACGGAAATAAGCAATGCGTCTGAGTCGAACGTGGCTGAGAACGGGAGAAATGAGGAGTTGGTGTCTCAAATGGACTATTCTCGGGAAGCTCCAAATGAAGTTTTGTCAGAAAAGGACAAGCTCAATTTACTCCTCGAGGACAAGGAGAGGAAATTGAAGAAACCACCACTGAGCTCGAGAAAACGAAAACAGCGCATGTGGAATCGTTGAATATAACATTTAAGTTTATGGGGGAGTTTTGTTGGAATAAACATAAAATGTTAAATGTCAGTTTTGTTGAAATCAATTTAAAATGCTCAATATTAATTTTTAGGTAATTTGTTAGTAGAGTTAAATTTGAGAAGTATGGTTATGGCTTCTCTCTCATATCTATTATTAGAGGGAGAAAACTTATAAATAACTAATCCTTTTATGGTAAAGTCAGAGCACGAGAGGGAGGGAAAAAAGAAATACATATCAATAGAAAAGGGTTTTTGATAAAAATTAGTGTTATTTGTCTTCTTGTCTCTCCTCTCTCTCAATATCTCCTTCACAAGTACGCTAGTAGTATTTTCACAAAGCAGTATCGAAGCGTTCTATTGTTAGTGTGTGTGAGATTTACTTCACAGATTATTGAGTTTTATTTAACACTTATCATTAAGCTCGTGTTTCTTTTCATAGCCAAAACGTCAACCTCTTGCTTCAAGATTCAAAAGTAATTTGAGTCTCGAGTCATGCATTCTTTACTATCTTATTCCCATGAGCATAACCTACCGCTAGAAGTCTATTGCACTGTCAAACAAATTTATTCCCTTACCTTTTGCATTTGCTTGTACAAATACTTTTTGTTGAAGATTGTTGAGAGGGAATCCCACATTGGCTAATTTAGGAAATGATCATGGGTTTATAGGTAAGAAATACATCTCTAATGGGATGAAGCCTTTTGGGGAAGCCCAAAGCAAAGCCATGAGAGGTCATGCTCAAAATGGATAATATCATACCATTGTGATAGTCATTATTCCTAACACTTCTCAGAGTTTTTGTCATGTCCAACTTGGCTAGCGTATCCAACTCGTCTTAAGCTTATTATACATACTCACGAGTGTCTTTGTAGTATTGTGCAATGGTAGCTTTTCTTCAGTTCCTTACCTAAAACTAGGGTTTATCATGTCAGTTCCTTACCCATGCCATCCGCGGGAACTGACCCAAGGTCAAAAACCTATGGCAAGGTTTAAATCTCTCCCCTCACTACAAGGGCACAGGCAACAAACATCGTATCTATCAAACTACTAAGTGGCATTCAATCTCCCAACTCGTAGTCATTTCAATTAGGGCGCCATTTCTGTCTGGATGTCATTCTATGTTAAGGGTGTAAGTCATAGAGGTGTATTCTGGCTTCAGTGTACTTAACCTCTTGTTTTTCTACTTTTTAAGGTCCATCAAGTCATTGCACTTCATATGCATAAGTTAGGGTACCTTGTATATCTCGGGATCTAGAAAAATATAACAGGCATAAGGAGTCATTGATCGTATAAGTGAGCTCTCGATCTCCTTATATCTCCATACGTGCCAAATATTGAGAGTTAGATGGAAGCTCCCCTAATTTTACTCAACAAGCTCCCTATTCCTACATCATTCCAAGCTAGAATAGTGCAAGGGGAGCTCTTTAATAAGCACAATCGAAGCTCCTCCAACAATTTCCTCTAGCATGCCACGAGTCTTAAGTGAATGACGATGTCTTATATGCTAAGTAAACCTTCTCTAGTTGGGTGAATTCACAACCAAAGATTTTGCTTCAACTATCCATACATAAACCTAGTCAACCCATGTCACCAATAACAAATTCCAAATGTGGCTCCATTCAAAAAAAAAAAAAAAAAAAA